CCCAGCTAATTTTTGATTTTTTTAGAGACAGGATCTCACTATGTTGCCCACGCTGGTCTCAAACTCTTGGGCTCAAACAAGACACTTGCCTTAGCCTCCCAAAGTGCTGGGATTACAGGCATGAGCCACTGCGCCTGGCCTAGTCACCCTAATATTTATCACAAACTCCCTCACCCTCTTCCCAAACAACTTCACATAAACCTACATCTAGAAAACTCTGTAGGTTGGCTTTGCAGTTTCTGGACAACTCACCTAGCACCCTTTTTCTTGTGAAATGACACCCCTAAACCATTCCTATACTGAATTTCTAGAGAAACCCCTGTGGCTAATGTAATCACCTGCTTTCTTTCTTTTTTTTTTTGCTCTGTCATCCAGGCTAGAGTGCAGTGGCACGATCTTGGCTCACTGCAAGCTCCGCCATTCTCCTGCCTCAGCCTCCTGAGTAGCTGGGACTACAGGCGCCTGCCACCACGCCTGGCTAATTTTTTGTATTTTTAGTAGAGACAGGATTTCACCGTGTTAGCCAGGATGGTCTCGATCTCCTGACCTTGTGATCCGCCCGCCTCGGCCTCCCGAAGTGCTGGGATTACAGGCGTGAGCCACCGCGCCCAGCTGAAATCACCTGCTTTCTAAGTGCCAGATCACCTCTGCTTAAGCCCTTGGATCCCCAGCAGTGGAGGGGCAAATGCAGCTTGGCTAGTCACATTACATGCTTTATCACGTTTTGATTTAACCCTCAAATGGCTGTAAGGGACAGAAACCTACCAGGTTTAACACAGGAGAAATTGATCCTCAGACTCTCCCCAAGCTCTGGCTGGCATTTGAACCCCGCTGCTTGGACAGCAGCTCTTTTTCCTGAGTCAGGTGCCTAAAGCTAACCCCTTGGGGGCTTTGTCCTTCAGGGACTAGAGCAGCAGCCCCCTTCTCCCCCAACTTCTGCCTGCCATCTCACCTTCTCTCCACGGAGCTCTCCTTTGTGGCCTCGGGTCCCGAGGGAGAGGAAGATCCTGAACCTCTGTCCTTGACTCTCCGAGGCCCCCTGGTCCTGCAGGAGGCTGTGAGCGTCTGGGCTGGAGAAAGACAGATAGGAAGAGTAGGGTGACCTTTGAACAGGAATTGATTGTGAAACTGGTTTCTGTTAAGTGCTGCAGGAGAAAAAAAAGCCAAACTCTCGGGCTCTTCCAGGAAATCATGGGCTCCAGCTGTGCACTTTCATTTTCCTTTTTGCCTGTTTCTCTAACTGCATGCACAACAAGATGAAAGAGCAGAATCAAAGTCAGAAGGCCTGAGTCTCTCGTCTCTGTCCTGGCTGTGTTATAGGATGGACCTATATGGGGTATGAAAATAGCTCCTGTGGCTTAGAGCTCTGGTGAGGAGCCCATGAGCAAGCGATGGGGCACCTGATGAATAGTGGATTCACAGTAGCGATCATCACTGATTGTTCTGAAACTGCTTCCCTCCACAGCATCTTGACGTGGATAACAGCCCTATGAGGTGCACGGCCGGCATTAAAGGGCTAATAACTCTGAAATGCAGAATCCTCTGAAAATGGAAACTTTTTTATTTTATTTTTTATTTTATTTTTGAGATGAAGTGTCGCTCTGTTGCCCAGGCTGGAGTGCAATGGCACGATCTCGGCTCACTGCAACCTCCGCCTCCTGGGTTCAAGATATTCCCCTGTCTCAGCCTCCCCAGTAGCTGAGATTACCTGTGCCCGCCACCA